ATTAATGAGAGGTGTACTTCAATGCTATTGAAGAGAAGGATTCTTAGGAATTTGGAATTAGAACTGAGTACTATTTGGTTTTCCTTTTCCTGCCTTGTAAGATATGTACATGAATATACATGCATATATAGTTGATATGTTTATGGACAGTGTTTATTTTTTTCCCTGTGAGACTAATAGTGACCTATTTATTGAAGCTAATTATGAACCTGTAAATTAAGATGCCACGAGGACTTGTCATAAATGCACAATTAAACCTGACTTTAGAAAGGTGAAGTTCTTTAAGCACTATGTAATTTTTGTCTGTTACCCTCAGTAAGGACAAATTTGAGGTCCTATTCTGAAGGCAGCATTGTGTTAAGCACTTTGCATGCAGTATCTTATTTAATCCTCACAAGGTACTGTTATAATCACCGTTTTCTAGATGAGGAAATAGAGAAGCAAAGTACCAAGGAGTTTGCCCAAGATCATGCAGATACTAAGTGTGAGGGCCAAGATCTCATTGCTTGGTGTGTTGTCGTTATTATGTTTTTCTTATTAGAGATCAGTTCGTGGCATGGTTTAATTTTGTCATTCTTGTTAAGTTCATGGAATTCTCAACTTTTAGTAGGTACCATGCAGTGTTTATGTTTTGTCTGTGATCCAGACATCTGTCTTTTGAAATTAATAGTAGAATTTTAATTTCTTTTCTTTTTTACTCTTAAAAAATATATATTTATTTATTTTATTGGTTGGTTGAGGTTCATTGGGGGTACAAAGAATTAAGTTGTGGTGATTGCATTTGTTAGGTTGAGTCCCCAGAAGGGTGTGCTGTACACCATAATCCCCATCCCCCTCTCTCCTCCCCTCTCCTCATTCCTTATCCCCCCCTTTAATTGATTTGAGTTTTTCCCTCATGTGGCTATGTATTAGATTGCCTGTTGGCTTCATGCTAGAATGGAGTACATTAGATTCTTGCTTCTCCATTCTTGTGATACTTTACTAAGAAGAATGTGGAACTTTTGTTTCCAGTGGTGATAGAACTGGAAATACCTCCACCCCTTTTCCTGACTGTCCCTAGAGCCAGCATTCTTAGGAAGTATGGTCCAATCTCTTTTCGCTCTTCATGTTAACCTCTGGAGGGAGCAGTGCTGTGTCCTTTCCCTACTTCTTTACTTCTCAGATGCCTCCCATTCCATAGCAGTTTGCTCTGCATCACATACAGTGAAATACATCTTGCTTAGATCGTCAGTGACCTCTACATTGTCAGATCTAATGGGCATTTGTTAGTGATCATCTCAGATCTGTTTTGCATTTGATTCTGATAATTTTTTCTTTGAAATTCTCTCTTTCTTGACCTCTGTGACATAATCTTAATTTTCCTCAGATTTCTCTGACCAGTCCTTTTCTTTCTCCTTTCAAGTTTTTCTTTTCCCTTCTTTTTTTTTTTTTAAACCGACCACTTAAATGTTAGAGTTCTCAGTTCCTTCCTGGGCTACCACTGTTCTTACTGTACATTCTCTCCCTGCTTGATCTTTGTTCACTTCTATAAAACTTTAGAAGTGAATAAAGTACCGATGGATCTATAACTCACATTTCCAGATCCATGTTTTTGAGCTCCAGGCCAGCGTGTCCACCAGTTTGCTGACTATCTGTGGCTGTGTCTGTACCCGCCACACAGTACCTCACGGTAAAGATCCCAAACAGAATTCAGCCTCATCTCCTTGAGCGTCTCTTCCTGAGCTTCCTCTTCCAGAGGGGGCAGCACTTGCTGCTGTCCTCTCCCTTCACCTGATCGCCAGGTCCTGCTTCTTTTGCTTCCTAAGTATCTGACACATATGATTTTCCTCTGTGTGCCTACAACTCTCTTCTGTAAGTGAGATCCACCTCATATTCTATTTTACTATACCGCCTTCATGCTTTTTTCCCCCTGTAGTTTCGTAGCCTTTAAATCCTTCATTCGCAAAGTTGGCGATGCAATTGATACTGACATACCTGGAATGTAAACCTGACTAGGCTGCTCAGTGTAAACCCATTGATTGGATCTTAGGTAATAACAGGGTCAAGTGTAGTCATTTTAATAATTCATGCATGACTCCCCTTGATCTGGCCCTTGCCTTTCTTTCCAGCCCTGTCTATTGACATTTTGTTGTCCAGCAGCACTGTTCTGTTCTCCAGTATATACCAAACTTTCTTTCCCTGACATGTTTTGCTTATGATGTCTTTATACCTATAATTCTAAAGCACTCTTCCTCTAACTAGCCTGAACTATCTCTGTTTTTTTAAATTTTCTCCAGGAAGTCTTCTCTGATGTTAGCTCAAACTGCATTAAGTACCTCACTTCTGGAATTACTGTTTTATAACATTTACTTTTTGATATGCATTCATGGGAACCTAAATAGATCCTTCGGCACTTTCAAAGTTGGATTATCCTTATTCTAAATCTTTCCCCCATTTCATAATTGCAAGATTTCAGAGAATTTTCAGCATACATGAAAATAACTTTGTAGTAATGTGTAATTTAGAGTAGTGGTTCTCAACCTTCCTAATACCGTGACCCTTTAATACAGTTCCTCATGTTGTGGTGACCCCAACCATAAAATCATGAAATAGCAATGAAAATAATTTTATAGTTAGGGGTCACTACAAC